TGTTTCAGGAAAAGAGCATACTGTTTGGGCCCCAGGAATAAACCCGTTACTGGAACAAGACGCAGGCAGCAGGCGTTGTACCTACCTACCTGGTGGTAAAAGGCGTGTTTTTTGAGAATTCTCAAAAAATAGGCAGCAGGCGTTGTACCTACCTACCTGGTGGTAAAAGGTGTTCCAGGGGAAGAGCGCGGGTAAGTTCGTGAGGTGACTTTAGTGTCGCCTTAAGAGTCACCTTGTTACAATGTCACACGAAACATTGAGTCGACTCGATAATTACACGAACCTGGTAGAACGTGTTCCAGGGGAAGAGTGCGAGCAGATCCATGAGGAAGTAGGAGACGAGGTACCTGCAGCACGGTGATGGGGGAATGGGGAACCGCATCAGACAGGAGAGAGAGAGAGGGGGGGAGAATGCAGTGAGCGCAGGGAAAGGGGAAGAGCGCAGGGGAAGGGGAAGAGCGCGAGCAGATCCACGAGGAAGTAGAGAAGAGGTACCTGCAGCAAGGCGACGGGGTGAGGGAGGGGTTTAGGAAGGGGGGGTTGACAGCAGCGAGCGCAAGCAAAGCAGTGAAAGGGGAAGAGTGCGAAGAGGCCCATGAGGAAGTAGAGAAGAGGTACCTGCAGCAAGGCGACGGGGTGAGGGAGGGGTTTAGGAAGGGGGGGTTGACAGCAGCGAGCGCAAGCAAAGCAGTGAAAGGGGAAGAGTGCGAAGAGGCCCGTGAGGAAGTAGAGAAGAGGTACCTGCAGCAAGGCGATGGGGGTAAGGGGGAGGGAGGAGTGTGGCAAGGGGAGGTGACAACAGTGAGCGGAGGGGAAGGGGAAGAGTGCGAAGAGGCCCATGAGGAAGTAGAGAAGAGGTACCTGCAGCAAGGCGATGGGGGTAGGGAACCGCACCAGACAGATATTGGGGGGAGAGGGGGGGGTGGGGTGGGGGAGGGGGCAGCAGTGAGCACATTTTTTATGCGCCTCAAAAATAGGGGGGGAGAGGGGGGGAGGGGGAGGGGGGAGATAGCAGTGAGCACAGGGAAAGCAGTGAGAGAGAGCTGGGAAGGCGGAAGAGCGCGAGCATGTCCATGAGGAAGTAGCAGCAGCAGGAAGGCGGGTGGGCGACCGCATTAGGAGGGATGGGGGAGAAGGAGGGGGGGTTCAAAGGGGAAAAGCGTGAGGTGGAGTCTGTAGCACGCGAGGAGAGGGAGGAGGAATACGCTTGAAAAAGGGAGTTACACTTAGGTTTAAGATCACTGGCATGAAGGCCACATATATAAAGAGATAGCCGAGGTTGCCACATGTTGATTGCACCCATTCCCTCCTTCTCCTCTCGCTTCACCAATCGCTTTCCCCTCGCTTCTCCCGCCTCTCCCAGCCTGCCCCCGACGCTTGCCCCCTCGCTTTTACCACCTTTCTCACCTCGCTCCCCCCTCCTCTCCCACCCGTTCACCTCTCAGCGATCTTCCAGTGGCTTGTAACGAGGGTGTAGGTGTGCTTGTCCTTGAACGCGACGAAGAACGTGACCAAGAGATCGGCCAGGAAGCAGAAGTTGACTGCCACGTCAAGCCACGTCAGCCACACGGGCATGCTGTCCGCCAGGAAGGCGAACTCGAAGGGTGTGACTAAAGCGGAGTAGAATCCCAGGATTAGAGTCACCTGCTCCCATAGTAACAAATAACTGGATGGGCGAGGGAGGAGGAAAGTATGGGGGAGGAGAGGGAGGAGGGAGGAGGGGGGAGGGGGGAGGGATGGATAAGGGAGGAGGAAGAGGGAGGTGGGAGGGAGAAGGGAGAAGGGAGGAGGGAGGAAGGAAGAGGGAGGGGGGAGGAGGAGGGAATAGGGAGGAAGCACGGGAAGAAAGGAGAAATGAATAGCAAGATCCAATCTCATCAAACCAACTCACAGGAGGGAGGAAGGAGAAGGGAAGAGGGAGGAGGGAGGAGGCACAGTATGAAAGGCAAGAAATGAATTGTGTCTTCCCCTCCACCACCAAGCCAACCTTCACAATCCATCACTAGCAGCAGCAACCCACGCGTCTCCGGGTCGATCACTCGAAGCGACGCGAGCTCAGAGTAGTGCGGCGGTCTTGGCCCTGCGCACCCCCCACCCATCCGGTCTTGGCCCTGCCCGGCGAGCACCCCCCCCACGCCATACCCACCTCCACACCCCATGACTAGTAGTCTAGTAGCAGCAACTCACGCGTCTTCCGGATCGATCACGCGCAGCGACGCGAGCTCCATGTTCCGCGGCATGCAGATCCCGAACGTTGTGGACCGCTGCAGCATCGCGCGGTCCCTAACCGAGCCGCCGCCGCGCATCGAGTCGCCCCCGTTCGCGCCGAGCCAGAACGAGGAGCTGCCGTCCGTGTTGACGCCTGATACGCCGGAGCTCACGCCACTGCTGCCGCCGGGCCATCGCCCCGCGAAGGTGGAGGCGGAATCGTCACGGCCCCCCCGGTTGAATCGCCAAAAGGGTTGACCGAGAATTGTCTCCGTCGCCCAACGCTTGATCTGAGAATCGGGAATAGAGTTAGAACGAGTGAGCATACGAACGAGTGTGATACCAACGAGTACATGTGGGAAGTGTTGCCGTCCGTTTGATTCATCTGAAAATGCGGGACCGTGCGGCAGGAGTGCAAGGACTGCGTTTTTTTATGGAGGACGTGTCACGAGAACGACAACGGTCCGTCAGCCACGAGAACGAGAACGATAACTTTTCGCCCTAACGAACGACGTAGAAACGTGAGGCCAGGTCCATTAGATACTTCCAAGTCGGTTTTCTCAATCAAAATATCGAAACGAAGGCGGTCACACGGCGAGACGTTGACGTTGACTGACCGTCAGTTTTTGGCGAAACCTGGACAACGGACTCGCACCTGCTTGCCGACCGACAGCTCGACGTCCTCATTGTCGAACCGGCTGCTTTCCGGCAATTTAAACTCCGCATCGCGATTCCTTCCTCTACCCATTTTCGCCTCTTTTCCACAAGCTAGAGAGAAACGGCGGTAAGTGGCTAACCAAGCAAGCTCGCTTCAAGTTTGACTTGGAAGTTTGGACGCCACGCTTTCGAGATCAAATGTTAATACGGCCTTCGCGGATTGGCGTTGAAGCTTGAAACATCGCAAAGAGCATTCTCTTCGCGATTTGAAGTCCAAGCTTTAGGATTTTTGCTAGTTGACACCTTTTTAGAAGATTGCGGTCACAACAGCTTTGGTAATCAACCGTCGCTAAGCGTTAGATATGCAATTAGCAGTATTGAGCTCTCGTGCTTTCGAAATTATGCTGCCACGAAACCTCACAGTAACTAGAGAATCAGCTCCGCGACCTCGACGATCCCAAACTAAGAAATATAACTACTAGTTATCTTGCCTTCAGCAAAATACGACGAAATGGCCATCAGCACAGGGAGACAGGTCTTGGTGCTGAAGTTTAGCGGGATAATCACTACGAGCTAAAAAAACACGACAGGAGAAACAGCACTCCTAACAAAAGCAAAACAAATGGACGGGAAAAGGAAGCAAGAAGCAGAGAGGGTGAATGGGAACATGGGAACTTGGGGATTACTGTGACTGAAGTTCAGGGCTTGTCCCAAAAGCTCAGGGCTTGTCCCAAAAGCTCAGGGCTTGTCCCAAAAGTTTCAACACCTAATCGCTCTAGATACTTATTTCACCGCTTTGGAACGCAGATCACCTTGTTGAGCCTCATGAAGGAAAACATTGGGGGGGACACGCGCTTTTGAGGCGATCCTTGTTTACTGTACCATCATCGGAGTTGCGGGCACTAGTCTTTTCGCGTCGTCGCGTGACGTGAACCATGACGGGGAATCGAAAGTACCTTGGGCATTGCCATTGGATGGTTGGAAAAGGTGATGGACAAAAACATTCGGGAGCTGGAGCACGTGGGCAACCATGTGGAAGATACCTTCCTGCCCATGATCCAAAGGAAAGTCGCAGCGCGCAATTTTGGTCACTTCTGCCATCTGTTCGACATGGTCTGGCGTGTGCTGTTTGTTCTGGCGGCTCCCCCAAGGTCATATGAACCCCCTGCACTCGGGGAGTTTGTATTGGTAGAAAAAAAGGAAGCCTTGCCGAGGTGGCATTCACCGAATGGCCTTAAATGCGAGCACGGAAAAGCGGAAGGAACCTTCCCTAAACAGCCCTCCGAAAAGGACGTCCGATAAGAGATGCCTAGATCTGGAACACACAAAACGAATGGCACAAATGTCCTATCATGAATTTTTTTATTACTGATTTCGATGTACCACGTACTTACAATACTATATGGTTGGAGGGGGGACAACCGGCACGTCAATTCGATACAGTCGATGTGCATTGTTGTGCATAATTCCACATGCCGCTTGGAAAGCCTCTGGAAGAGTGAGATCGCCTCCTTGCACAATTGATGCAAGAGCAAGAAAGAGGATCTGCCTTCCCCACATAGCACCTGATTATAAACAAACATGAAGACGGTATTACCCCACATAACAGATAACAACAAACAAACAAACATGCTCGTAAAATGGCGACAGCTTACTCAAATAGAAAGGCTCGGCGAATCCCAAAGCGTCTGTGCTCATCATGACCTGATACATAGGGCGGCAAAACAGGTGTCATGTAACGAAGCATCTTGAGAGGAATACATGGGGATATCTGGAGAACAGAGTCGTCTGAAGCCAATACGGCAATATAAAAAAAACAGAATAGACAGGAATATAACAACTACATGCACGATAGCAGAGCACGGGGTCCTTTTGAGAGGGGCGAAGTCAAGCAGTCAACGCAAGTTGCGGGAGGCACAGCAAGCCTTACTGAGGGGAGAAAGGTCAAGCAAGGTCAATGCAAGTCAAGCGGGAGTGGGACAAGACAACGAGCACGGACCTTGTTGAGAGGGGCGAGGTCAAGTAAGGTCAATGCATGTCAAGGAGGAGTGAGACAAGTCAACTAGCACAGACCTTGTTGAGAGGGGCAAGGTCAAGCAAGGTCAACGCAAGTCAGGGGTGTGAGACAGGACTAGTCAACGAGCACGAACCTTGGTGAGGGGGGCGAGGTCAAGCAAGTCAAGGAGGGCGGCCTTCATGCCTGAGATGGAGAGCTTGCTGAATACCAGCCCACAGTCGACGTACACCTGAGAGAGAAGAGATGCAGGGATGGAGCAGGACTGTATGAAGCTGGTAACGGGCCTTTTCTTGAGGCGCCTCAACAAGAGAGCTTGCTGAATGCCAGCCCACAGTCGACGTACACCTGAGAGCGACGGATGAAAGGCATGGGGCAGGGGTGGTACTTGTGATACGACACTTATAGGCATGGTGAATCTGATATCACACTTGCTGAAGACCAGCCCACAGTCGACGTACACCTGAGAGAGAAGGATGGAAGACGTGGAACAGGGATGACACTTATGGGCATGGGACATGTGGATGGCACTTGTAGGCATGGTGCATGTGGGATATAATTTGCTGAAGACCAGCCCACAGTCCACATACACCTGAGAAGGATGGGAGATATGGAACAAGGATGTTACATCACACTTGCAGGTGTGGTGCATTTGGTATGGCACTTACATCTACAGTAGCATCAATCAGTAGCTACTGATTGACTTAGTAAAATCTACGGAAAGAGTTTGATTATAAGAAGGATCAATACAATAGACGATAAAATGATTCCTGCCAACCGCCAATTACCATCCCTGTGGTTGATTTTCTGAGGCTGGCTCCGCACCAACGGCACGAGCTATGAAATTTCTTGGAGAACATGCATCCACACACTCACACTCAGTCACCCCCCCCCCGCCCCCCCCCCCCCCCACACACACACACACCCACACACACACACATGCAAGTGATGCCGTACCATGGAGTACACAGAAGCAAGGTAGGAAGTTTCCCTCATAAACGGATAGCACGAGTGCAGGAGAACAATCGGCGCCGCGTAGCTTGCATGGCTGCACCCCAACCCACGCGCCTTCCCACGTGCCCCCGCATGCGCCTCCCCTTGCGCCTCCCCCACTGGCACCTCCCCCACTGGCACCTCCGCGAGCCCCTCGTTATACTCCAGCAGAGCGCGCAGGCACAGGGGGTTGGCTGCTGCCAGATCCAAATCCCTGTCGCCAAAACTGGACAGGGAAGGACAAGAGTTCAAAAACAACCAACCCACTGGAACCTCCCCCACTGGCACCTGCGCGATCCCCTTGTTAAATCCAGCAGGGCGCACAGGCACAGGGGTTTGGTTGCTGCCAGATCCAAGTCCCTGTCGCCAAAACTGGTCAGGGAAGGAGAAAGAAGGGGAGGCACTTACTACGGAAATTCAGACAATGAAAGAAGAGGCAAGATTTACATATTGAGTTAATATGAGAAATTTTGAAATATATTTCCAAGTTTTAAAGATTATGACAAGTCTTGTAAAGGAGGTTGCAGTACGGAGTCACAACCTCTTTATCTCGTGGCAGGTCCACGGACCTGCCACCTTGTCCAATTCATTTCTAGATCTACATCTTAGGGTTTCGGGTTTAGGGTGCTTGGGGCAGCTGTTGGATCCAAGGCCAAGGCCTTGGGTGCTAGGGCCCCAAGCACCCAAGCACCCAAGGGCTTGGGTGCTTGAGCAGTCTGTTGCTTGGGTGCTTGGGGCAGCTGTTGGTCCTTGGCTGCCAGTCAGCCAGGGCCGTTGAAATGGAGAAACTGATCATCATCAAGCATCCACCATTCACATTCACACAGGCTGATCAAACATAGCATGATTACCATCCACAACTCATCATCCACAGGCCACAGTGTATCTGCAGCGGCAGCTGATGCTCGGCTGCCGCTGGAAGGGCTAATCACCAAGCATCCACCATTTAGCAACCACAGTGTCTCATCCACCATACATCAGAGAGCCATCACTCACCCACCACTCACCCACAGTGTATCTGCAACGGCAGCTGATGCTTCGCTGCCACTGCAGGGGCTGTATTGATACAGAAACGAATTAGCAAGCATCCACCATTCACAATCCCAGAGGCTTATCAACCATACCAAACATAAACCCATCACTCACCCGCAGTGTATCTGTAGCGGAAGCTGATGCTTGGCTGCCACTGCGAGGGCTGTAGCGATGCAGAAACTGATCACTCGGGGGTCACACAGGCGCAGGCTTGGTGGACATGTTTGGACTACCGAAGCTGAGGTGTAGGATAGGGAGGAAGAGGGATGACGAAGGAATCAATAGAGACTGAGCGCCAACGACCTCTAAGGTTTAGTAGACTGTATAGGTGTAACACTGACATGGAAAAGCAGAACAGACATACCCATGATGGCTTAAACCCCAAGCTCCACTCAAGCAGGAATTCTAAGAGTGGTTTTTAAGGGGAGTCCTAACGAGGAGGTTTAAGGCCATGATGAGTGCGGAGCGGGCAGGCGTGGTTGGGAGGGAGAAGGCAAAGTGAGGGTGGGAGGAGGGAGAAAGAGGCGAAAAACACTCACCCAGCGTGGCTTGAATGCCGAGCTCCACTTCAGCGGCAATACAAAGGGGTCAGAGCCCTATAACGAAGTGTGTCAGAGCCCTATAACGAAGTGTGTCAGAGCCCTATAACTTGGTGGGTCAATGCTGCACTCACCCAGCGTGGCTTGAATGCCGAGCTCCACTTCAGAAGGCGTTACGAAAGGGTCGATGGAGAGCCCACAGCGGTATGCTGCAATGCTCTTAAACGGGCGGTAGAGGCCTGTGATCAGTGGAGCCCTATACAACGAGGCGGCTCAGAGCAGCACTCACCCAGTGTGGCTTGAATGCCGAGCTCCACTTCAGAAGGCGTTACGAAAGGGTCGATGGAGAGCCCACAGCGGTATGCTGCAATGCTCTTAAACGGGCGGTAGAGGCCTGTGATCAGTGGAGCCCTATACAACGAGGCGGCTCAGAGCAGCACTCACCCAGTGTGGCTTGAATGCCGAGCTCCACTTCAGAAGGCGTTACGAAAGGGTCGATGGAGAGACCACAGCGGTATGCTGCAATGCTCTTAAACGCCACCACTCCGGGCGGTGGTGTGTTGAGTCAAAGCCATAGAGATTAGGAGAAGGTGTCAAAGTGGAAGGTTAAGGCAAACAACAAGACCGGAAAGAATTTGTGGGAACGCATGAGTACAAGCAGTCGAGATAAACGCTGGTCAACACAGGTCAACACAGACCAGCACAGGATTCAGCACAGGTCAAAACGCGTCAACACAGGTCAACACAGGTCAACACACAGGTCGTCGACAGTCAAGAACAACAGACTTCTAAAAAAGGATGGATGGTCCGCAGTCAACGGATCAGCAAGAGCAACACTGACGATCTAAATAGTCGCTCGGGGAAACAACATTGACTCTCCACATCAACAGACAGTTTTTCTCCTTGTCATTTCCTTGTCCGTCCTTCTCGTTTTCAAAAGGAATATGAAGGCACGAGGGGAGGATATTGATCAATGGCCTCGTGGAACTGCTTGGAGAAGCTGCCCAATGTCCACGTGCCACCTGGCGCTGGTCCCAGCAAAATATCTTCCGCTAAGGTTTCCAGCCTGATCACTCGCCGCACCACCGGCACCAGAGTCTCGTGCCATACCACACCCCTCCACCTCCACCTCTTCCCATGCCCTGACTGTTCCGCCTCCCTCTGCTGTTCTCCTTCCTGTGGCCTGTGGGTTGACTCTGAAGCTGCCTGATTCCCTCCCTCTTGCGCTGCTGCTGATGCCACGCCTTCTGCTGTTTCTTTTGCCGCTCCTAGTTCATACGCTCCGCTTTCTCCTCCTCCCACCCCCCAGTTCACATCCCCGTTATAAGCCACGCCGCCTCTGAGCCCATCGTCTATAAGCAGGGCGGATATCCGCGCAGCACCAAACAGCTTCTGATTGGCTGCTTCCTCGCCCAATCGCAGCCGAGCAGCGGCGACTCCCTCCAGTGACGTGGCGTCCGCTGATAGGGCAGATGCCAGCTCACGAATACTGCGCTGATACGGGGAACAGAGGGGCGGGAGGGGAAGGGGGAGGAGGGGGGGAGGGGAGGGGGAGGGGGGTGGGGGAGGGGGGGGGGAGGGGGGAAGGGGAGAGGGAGGGACAGCAGGGGAGGAGGGTCGAGTGGTAAAGGTCGGAAGGATGGTGGTGGACAGTGGAGGAAGAGGAAGGAGGGAAACCGTCTTACAGCCGACTTTGAGGCGCCTGGGCTGCTGAACACACTGGTTTGATTCTTTTTGTGAATATGATGGGAGGGAAGAACGACCAATGAGGGAAAGAGGACGTGAGAACGAGAAGTCAAAGGCGAATGCAGGAAACCGTCAGTAGCCTATATCGAGCATGGTACCTTAACGGCGATGGAGTGTACTGCTTGTTCTCGCGCTTTACCCTGCGCTTCCGTGAGTGTTCCTAGCAGTGCGTTGCTGAGAGATGTGACTGTAACGGGAGGCTCTAGCTCCATCAGGCAGTGGCAGTGGTGGTCGAGAAGCGGACACGAGTCGATAAACTCTCGCAGCTGTTCCAGGTCAGCATCTTGGTCAGTATCAGTGAGACTCGCAGTAATCGTGCGTGGAACCGACATATTTGAATGAGAGACTAAGATCCAGAGAACGAAAGCAACGGATTGCCAACGTTACTACTAAAGAAGCAATGCCTCGTTACTGTCTATCAGGAGACAGATAGAACAGTTATTCAGGCTCAGTTTTCAGAGGCTGAACGGCAAGGAACAATGCCTGAATGTGAGTGCTCTGAAGATTTGACAAATTTGCCGCGACCTCCTTGGGAGTTGCATGCTGACATATGTGATATATGTTTGTAGAATTTTGAGCTCGCTACAAGAATGACCGATATCGACGAGCGGAGCAGAGCTAAAAAGATTTCAGTGACATCATGAAAGCTGCTTTTATGAGAGCTGTTTTGGCGAAACTTACACGACGTAACTACCGATTCGTGTTTAAAGCGACGGGCAACTTTTGGCAGTGTTGGGTTCAGAAGTTTTTTTTTTTGAACCAGGCTTGCCAGCGCGAAAGTGCTGGCTGGCGAAAACCAGGATTTCGTGCGGACACTTTCCATCCGCAGTAACACTTCGCCAGGGTTCTGGGTTTCGGGTGGCAAATGTGCACCGTCGCTTTAAGCGAGTTGGGAGCGCTCCAATCGCGTGGTCCCATTGTTGCATCCAACGGTCATGCTGGCGTGACTTGGGTTTCTTCACAAGATCCCGGAGTTTCCAGAAGTCGTCCACACCAGACGAACATTCTCTACAGTCACTCTCACAGATGTGACATTAGCAGCAGTATCTCTTTAGACCGTGTTATACCGCGCTGTATGATATGATTTGTCATTTCGATTCCGCATATTCCTCATGTATGATATGTTTGATCTTGTGACTTGTGAGTGGCCATACAACTTCCAATGGCAGAAATAATTTGCTTTGTTGTCAGGCGACAATTCCAATGTCGAATTGGCGTCGCACGCTTCAACCACGGTCGGTCTGGTTCATGTCGTTCCAACTGCCAAATGAAACCTGAGGCGGAGAGGATCGGAGACTCTTGACATGACACACGCGTCGAGGAGTTTCTTCTAGGTCCAAGTGAACCAGTCTTTTGAGGACGCAACGCGTCCACATTCAATGGAATGAACAGTCGCCTGTCACGGCAGGGAGTAAACTGACTGTTTTTATGGCACAAGTTTCAAGAACTCTCGGTGTCACCTCCGCGCGATTCTCGGGTCTCTGTCTTGCCAATCGGGGTCTTTAAAGCCGGCGGCCCAAATTGTTCATGCTTTTAAAAGTTGACCAGAGGGAGTTTTTCTGGTGTGGGCTTTGGCGAGAGTTTCCGATTTCGTCTAGGTTCGTTTTTTTCGCGAGACCCAGCCAACCCTCGGTTTTCCCCCTGGTGAGTGAATCTGTCTTCGAAAGTCCCAAATTGCAAGTGCGTGACTTTCAAAAGCTTGGACACTCAACTTCGTCAAGTTTTAAAAACTTGACCCTCGCGGCCCGCAATTTGGGACGCGGGCTTTAATAGGACCCCTAGTAGCAGCAAGCTGCTGCATACACTACCAGCTTTCCAGACGCCAGTGACAGCTTCCCTCCGCCTGGTAACTTTCTAAAACGGCGTCTCCCTACTAGGAGAATAATCGTAAATCTTTCGTTGAGATTCAGGTTGTAGCTCCTCCCATTCGCTGGTTCTTTTACCTCCTCGTAGCGCCTTTCTTTTACGCCGAGCCTCCGAAAGCAACAGTTATGTGTTTATGTTTACCTCCGTGTCTCGCCCTTTTTTTTTAGCAGTACAATCCGAAGAAGTATCAGTTCCGTTCCAAGGCTTCCGCCCCCCAAGAGTACCCTCTTTCGGCTCATACGCTTTCAAGAAGCAGCAACCTTCCCGTTTCTTCAAGCAGCGTTCACGTTTCTCGCAGCAACCTTCACCGTCCTCTCAGCTTAATGGCTACACTCCATACTCAGATCTCCCCGCTCACGTCACTGACACGTCAGCAGAATCACCGCCTTCCTTCATCAGTCCTTCCAGTTGCTTTAGCTACTAGGCGCTCAGTCTCCTCTGCTGCTCTGTTGCCAGACGAACCCCGAAGGAGCAACCATGACGGTAGCAGCAAGAGCAGTAACCAGACCAGCAAGAAGAGCAGTAGAAATCCGGTGAGCAGCCACGTCAGCAGTACACGGAAAGGCCTCGGTGCAGGGAAGGGGTCCCTGAGCCTTGTTTCTGGGGCGAAGGGGTTCCGTGCGGTGGTGAGCTTTGCAGTTCGGAAGTTGAGGGGTGGTGGTGGTGTGTGGGAGGGGCAGCATGAGGTCTGTGAAGCTGAAGAGCGGGACGGGTATCACGCAGCTGATATCCCACCTGTGCCAGCTTATAACGCGTATGTGTCAACTGGTGTCACAAATGGAGCAGTCCGGGCGGTCAGAGAGGACAACGGGAGCAGCAGAGGGGCAAGTGAGGGAACAGGAAGTAGCAGGGGTGCAGAGGGTGAGGGAATGAGTGAAGAGGCGCTGGATGGACAGCATGAACTTCGGCAGGAGCGGTTGAGTCAGGTGCTGGGTGCAGTAACAGCAGTGGAGGATCAAGAAGCAACGGATGAAAGAGAAGGGATGGGGGAGAAACCAGGCAATTGTGACCTTGTAAAGGGGACGGTACAAGTGACTGCAAGCTCGTCACCTGCCACACCTACAGGGGACGGTGGAATCGGTGCACCTCTGCAATCGCCCGCTGATACAGATTCTAGCCATCTGTTTTCTGAGCCCGTGCTCGCAACAGCAGCAGCCGGAGATATGGCGTTTTCCCTTAGCACCTCGGATGTTGGCATGGAGGAGGAAACGCAGGGAATAGACGGAGATGAGCGGGGGGAAGAGGAGGAAGAGGGGGAAGATGGGGGTGAGGAAGAGGAGGGTGAGGAAGAAGAGGAGGAAGAGGAGGGGTTGTTGTTGGAGGCAGAGGAGGGAGGGCAGGAGCGCAAGAGTGTGTTGCGGCGGGGCCTGGCAGTCTCCTCCCGAACTCTCTCCTGGATTTCTGACGTGGTTGTCTCACCCGCGCTCAGCTTCACTGGCCCACCAGGTAGGTCCGCGTTTGACACGTCTCAAGAATCATCCCGCACTCTCTCTCCCTCTCCTGGATCTCAGACGTTGTTTTCTCGCCCGCGCTCAGCTTCACAGGCCCTCCTGGTAGGTTTGTTGAAAGTCGAAAAGTGTCTCTCACTGTGTTCAAATCGCTGCCACGCATCCGCATGGGAGTGCTGTTAGACGTGGCAAGGAGCATGCGCGCCAGTGCAGGCGGCATGGGTGCATGGTCAATGCGCAATCTCACCCATGGGCTGTACTGCCCCCTTCTTCTCCCCACTCTATTCCCCTCTCCCCAGTGGCGCATGCATTCAACTCGCTGCCGCGCATCCGCATGGGAGTGCTGCTAGACTTGGCAAGGAGCGTGCGTGCCAGTGCAGGCAGCATGGGTGCATGGTCCCTTTGGGACTGTATTAGCTTAAAGCGACGGTGCACATTTGCCACCCAAAACCCAGAACCCTGGCGAACTGTTACTGCGGATGGAAACTGTCCGCACGAAATCCTGGTTTTCGCCAGCCAGCACTTTCGCGCTGGCAAGCCTGGTTCAAAAAAAAAACTTCTGAACCCAACGCTGCCAAAAGTTGCCCGTCGCTTTAAGAGCTGTAATCCCGCCTCTACTCCTCGCTCTCGTCCCTCTCCTCATTCCCCTTCTTCAGTGGCGCGTGCATTCAACTCGCTGCCTCGCATCCGCATGGGAGTGCTCCTAGACGTGGCAAGGAGTGTGCGTGCCAGTGCAGGCGGCATGGGCGCATGGTCAATGCGGGACCTCACTCACGGGCTGTACCTGCTGTCGCTGCAGCATGCTGAGGAGAGAGCGGTTGACACAGTGGCATCTACACCAGTTACAGACGAGCAAACAGTGAGTGCATGCCACGGAGAGGTGTGATGGTAGCCTCTTTCAGGGACCTCACTCACGGGCTGTACCTGCTGCCGCTGCAGCATGCTGAGGAGAGGGCGGTGGACACTGTTGCTTCGACTCCAGTTACGGATGAGCAGACTGTGAGTGAGGAGTGTTGGGGAGACTGTGAGTGAGGAGTGTTGGGGAGACTGCGTGTGCGAGGTATTGGAAGGTCTGGTGCTGCGTGGTCAATGCGCGACCTCACCCATTGGCTGTACCTGCTGTCGCTGCAGCATGCTGAAGAGAGGGCGGTGGACATTGTTGCTTCAGCACCTGTCACAGACGAGCAAACAGTGAGTTTAGGTGGGGAGGCTGTGAGTGAGCACTTGGTCCGGTTCAGGTTAGGTGCTGTTTTCTCAAGTGAGTGAGTGACTAGCAGATGGAGAGAGGAGCAGATGCGAAAGAGGATCAGAGAATGCGTAAAACGGACTTTTCATGTTGCTGCAGGATCTGATCTACCACTGCGAGTATGCAAGGCCGGTGCCGGCTATAGCCACAACACACAGGGCCATAGCGCAACGCCATATCCCCTGCGTCCACCTTCGCCATGGCAGGTGCAGGATCTGATCTACCACTGCGAGTTCCCCCAGGCAGCCATGCCATGGCCACAACACACATAAGAGCATACATTTTTGAGGCGCCTCAAAAGACTTTTGAGGACTTTTGAGGCGCCTCATGAGGCGCCTCAAAAACCCAGGCAGCCATGCCATGGCCACAACACACACAAGAGCATACACGCACAGATATTCATGCGTTCTTGGCTGCCCCATTCCTCCCCTCCTTCCTTCCGCCTGCAGGTGCAGGATCTGATCCCACTGCGAGTTCACCTGGGCAGCCGTATCGACAAGGACAGAACCTCATGCCTAGTCTGCTGCCCTGCCCCTTTCCTTCCCTCCTTCCTCCCTCCGCCTGCAGGTGCAGGATCTGATCTACCACTGCGAGTTTGCCAAGGCGGCCATAGCCACATCGCACAGAGCCATAGCGCAGGCGTGCATGGTTCGCCCCAACCGCATTGTCAAGATCGTACCCAAGGTGAGGTGTGCACAGGGTATTGTTTGTTACGTTCGCAGGGCTGCCATAGTGTGTGCCGGTAGTGTGCTTGAGTGACATGAGTGCATGCCTGGGTCATTCCCGGGTCTAATTTCACATATGCTCGCATGCGTTCATGCATTTTCTCCCACGCCTGCTCCCATCCTCCCCCCATTTTCACCCATTTTCCCCCATCCCCCCCCATCCCCCCCCATCCTCCCCCATCCTCCCCGGATCCTCCCCTCATCGTCCCCCCGTCGTCCTCATGCGTTACCCTATTCCTTCTCCCCTCCTTGTCCATGTCACCACATCAGGCTCGGTATGGCAGGCCGGCCTACTTCATAGCTCTGGACGACAAGCGTCGTCTCGTAGTGGTGTCGTTCCGCGGGACGCGGTCGGCGCACGACATGCTGACGAACCTTGCCGCCCACTCGGTCCACGTCTCTACTGTTCAGCGTGCTGCGGAAAGAGGAGGGAGAGAGGACGGGTCGGAGACAGATGACGAGGAGAGGAGCGGGGAGCGTGAAGGGGATTACTTTATAGAAAGCGATGGGATGGAGGGAGAGAGGGAGGGAGACGGGGTGGCTGCTTGGAGTAAGCGAAAAGACGAGACAAGAGAGGAACAAAGGAGAGCTCGAGAAACGACAGGAGAAAGGGGGAGCGTGAGTGAGAATAAGCGGAGGAGCGAGGCCAAGCGACAACCAGCGAATGAGTTTAATGAGAAATCACAGGCGAAACCAAAGCAGAGCGCCAAGCAGAATGCAACGCAGAACTCAAAGCAAGGCTCAAAGCAGGCCCCAAGGGAGGAGACGATGGAGGACGTGGTGGGAGAGGAGGAACGGCGCGACATGGACGAGGTGATCGCATTCGGACACTACGGCATGGTGCAGGCAGCCGAGACGTTCGTGCATGAGGAGTCCCCCCTCTTGCGCCACCTCCTGGCCCACCACCCGGGGTATGATCTGCGGCTGATCGGGCACTCCCTGGGGGCGGCGGTGGCGGCGCTGGTCACCATCCTGCTAAGGCCACAAGCGGAGGGGCTGCTGGGGATAACGAGTGAGCGCGTGCGCTGCGTGGGGTTCGCGACGCCGCCCTGTGTTTCCAGGCATCTGGCGCTCTCCTGTCGCTCCTTCATCACCACTGTTGTCCTGCAGGTGAGCTCCTCAGCGCGTTGATAGGGCAGAGACCCCCCCTCGTATCCACAACCCACTGTGCTACTACTTTCATCACCACTGTGGTCCTACAGTTGAGCTCTCTCCCTTGGGGGTGCTGGTGCTGCAGGTGACCGTCTTGGCGCTGCGAGATAAGAGGAACAGAGGACTGCCCACTCTTACTCTCCTTGTTCTAGAGGTGCCTCAATTTACCTGTTTTGTCTTCTTTCCCCCATGTGTGGTTACCATGTTACCACGTGCTGTTACCACGTACTGTTACCATGTGCTGTTACCACGTGTTGTTACCACGTGCTGTTACCACGTGTCACCAGGATGACATAGTGCCGCGCCTCAGTCTGCACGCCTTGGAGTCGCTGCGAAACGAAGTGGTGGCATGCGCTGCTGCTCAGCCCAGCAAGGAGAAGCGCGCTCGCCCTGCTTCTTCAGACAACAGCAACAGCGATGGCAGTAGCAGCAAAAACAATGGGACGAGCAGCAGCGACAATGGCAGCAGCATCAGCAGCAGCAGCTGCAGCAGCAGCAGCAGCAGGAGCAACAATGGCAGCAGCATCAGCATCAGCAGTGCCAGCTCTCCCTCTCACTCTACCCCGTATAGCTTGATCAGCAACAGCTTTGCTTCTGTTCAAGAGCTCGATACACTCAGCTCAATCCCTTCAGAAGCAGGTGACAGTAACGGTGCTGCTTATAGGGAGGGCGAGCTGACCAACGCTACCATACTCCGTGACTCTACTGCAACAGATTCTTCCTTTCACTCCCTTCCACTCTCTACATCTCACCCTCCTCCTCTATCTCCGCACTCTCCCCCGAATCCTTCCATGTACCTCCAATCCCCGTCCGACTCTTCTGCGCCTTCCCCCTCTTCCGCATCCCCTTCATCCCAACCATATCCCACCACCACGAATAGCGCTCCCCCCGAAGAGCTTGATGTCTCTGACTCGTGCTCATCGGCCCTAGATGCCCTCTACACCTTCTCCTCCTCTCGTCCCCGAGAAACCCCCGTCGCCTCTTCTCGCACCCCTCGCTCTTCATCCTCTGTACACCCTCGCTCGTCCCTTCGATCCTCCCCTTCACCTCCTCCTCCTCCTGCCTTATCCTCTCCTGACTCTTCCTCGCTGCTGACCAAGCTCAAGTCAAAGAGGTGGAGGAAAAAGAAGAAGGAGCGGGAGCTGAGTCGACATGAGCTGCTGCTGCTGCAACAGGTGCAGATGGAATGCTATACCTTGGACGAGCACTACTCCAATGCCGGAGCAGCTAATACCGAGGCTAACTATGAGCTACTGCCACAGCACCTGCAGCATCAGCAGCAACAGCCGGAAGGTGAGGAGAATGGGTGGGAAGCAGGATCGGATCTTCTTGGCATTGAAGAGACAGCAGGCAACACCCAGGGGATGGATGATAAGGATAAGATAGAAATGTGCAGTGACAATGGCAATGGCAGCGACAGCAGCTATAGCAGTTGGAATGGGAATGGGAGTGACAGTGAGAAAGGCAGCAACGGCAATGAGAATGGCAAGTCTGAGATTCTTGCCGAGGACTTGGCTGCTACAGCTGCGAATGGCGAAGCAGTCTCGGCAAATGTGGTAACCATGGATACGCACAGGCGTTATGCTCCCGGAAAGCTGTACCATATAGTGAGGGATAAGAAGGATGGGGAGCATGTGTTGTTGGAGGCGCAGGGGAGTGCACGATTTGAGAGGATTGTTTTGTCATCCTCGTTATTGTCGGATCACCTTGTCAACTCGTACATGTATGCATTGCGTGATGTGCTGAAAGGCATGTAGATATGCGTTGTTCTCGTGTATTATTTCCAGTGAAAATCTGCATACTGCTGTCGGTCAGCTTCCGCCCATACTCAGGCAGGGTTGTCACATGATCTGATTATCAACACATGATCAATCGTACCCAGCAGGTAAATGTATTTATCAAGAGATAGCAACATACCGTAGTTCATACGCGATTACGCTTCATACACCAATACACGGTCAGGGTCAGGCCCTCAGAAGTCAGAGAAATTTGTCTGATTTGCTTGGAAAAGTCTGAGATTTCATTTGTTTTTTTGGGTGAAGCTGTTCCTGCCAGACGAGTACCCACTGGATCGTGCCGAGAGGAAACGGCGGTGCCTTCAGTGGCTACAGTCGCTGGTCACCTTGTTCAAGGCCGACCTGACGGAGGAGATTGTGCCAGGTAAGCCTTATCATCCTGCTTCGTTGCTCTGCTTGTGTACTGTGCGATGCTTCAGTCGATGTGTTTGATTAATCATTCAAAGATGTTCTATCGTTGTTTGTGTTTGTTTACTCATTCCATTCTGTTTACCCAATCCCGCCAGGAGTCAACAAGCACCGTGCAGAGAAGGAGCTGCGCATGTTTACCTCGGTGCTTGCAGCCTCTACCAAGGGCGACCACAGCTTCCACGCCGGACTCACAGCCATGCTCAAGACGCCGGACTGGCGGGACAACTACCCCAACCTTGTTCATCTGTGGGTGGCGGTAGCTGTCCTGCCGCTGAGCACCGTGGAGTGCGAGCGTGGGTTTCGAGGCAGAACATTATCAAGTCGTGGAAGAGAGGCTCGCTGAAGGATGCACGGCTGGGCGACCTCATGTGCATGAGCCTCATGGACTACGAGCCCAACTGGGAGGAGATCGTGACAAGCCCCACAGCAACGCTCCTCTCCCGCCTGCAGGAAAGCAACAGAACAGGGCCAAGGAGGCAGAGGAGGTGATGGAAGTAGAAGACATAGATCAGGATGATGATGATGCATCCGATGGTCATGATGATGGATTTGATGAGTAGACTAGAGTAGATAGGATAGGGTATATAGCTGCAAGCTAGGTAGTAGTAGTATGACTCTGTTATGTGCTAGGGTGTATGTTGTAACTTGTAGGCCAGCCTTATGTAGTTGAAAAACACTAAATACAACTCACCAGCACTTCATCAGACTAATCATTGGGGTAAACTCTGATTGCTTCATACTTTTTTTTAAAGACACTCTGAAGTTTCAGCCTTTGTTTCAAACCTAGTCTGATCAAATCAGACTAACACAGTGTACTACGGTAAGTCTGACAAATCAGACAGGCATAAAACGAATCTGAGGGCCTGGTCAGGGTACTTCCTAGCACCGACACACAAGCGTAAGAATTAGTGGTGTCAAAAAGTGTATCCTCCTTTTCATAATCCACATAAAGCAGGGACACTGTCAAGTCTTGAGCAGCCACACACACCAGCAGACCATCGATTCAAGTAAGACCCTAGAGAATGAATGTACTATACTCCACATTCACAAATATAGGGATATTGTCAATTGATCAGGGCTTGAGCAGCCACACCAGCAGACCACCAACAACAGTGCCCGCAGCAAACGACATGGTGCTGCCCGAGCCTCCGTCCGAAGCTGGCTTGGCAGACTCGGCAGCCTTCTGAGCCTCCTTAGCCGCCTTGAGAGCCTCATGCGCTGATGCTGCATGAGCTGCGGCCTCCTCTTTGTGAGCCTCCAGTTGCTGCCGGGGTATGGGAAGGTGCAAGCAATGGGTAAAGGGAAAGAGAGCTGATGCTGATGCTGATGCAAGCCAGGGGTTAGGGGAAGCACAACCCTAGCTGATGCTGCATGAACTGGTGGCCTTGAGAGCTGCATGTGCCGATGCTGCATGAGCCACGGCCCCCTCCTAGTCTTCCTCCAGTTGCTGCAGGGGTATGGGAAGGCGTGGGGATTATGGGGAACGGCTATGGGAACAAAGAGTCTGTCCCTAATTGGCAGTCTGGAGTGTGATAGCTTTCCATGCACCCAGAGGGGGACGGGAGGGGAGTGGGTGAATAGGAGGTGAAGGGGGTCAGGGAATGGACGAGCAGCGGCCCAGGAAGGAAGAAATAGGATGGTGAAATCCAGGGTGGTTGCATAGAAAGTTAAGTATGAATGTTTGGCGTCGGAACAAGTATTCATGAGTGAGAGGAGCAAGGAGGAGCACGGAGAAGCCAGGAGAGGCAACGAGGAGCAACGAGGAGCCAGGAGAAGCAAGGAGGAGCAAGAAAAACCAGGAGAAGAAAAGACGGTCAAAGCATGGGCAGCGACGGGCAGAAGGGACTTACAGCCTTGAGTTTCTCGAGCTTCTCGTGCTCAACTCTCTGCATGCATGAATGGATGGATGTGCGAAAACATCAGCACAGACACAATCCAAACCACAGTGCATTTGGCAAAACATGCATGAAACACATGGGAAGAAAGGAAATGTACGCAACACATACGTGGAGGGCAAGTTCATGCAGAAAAGAAAGAAGAGAAGGAGAAATCCATGCAAATCATGTGAAAAGAGGAAATGCACAACAAATGACCTTATCCGTATGATCTTAATGTGTTTCCAGAGACCAAGCGTTGACTATTAATTCACGAGAGCACTATGAGGGAGAACCACCCCCTTAACAAGAAACGTTCTCTACAGCGTGTTCCTATATTCCTCTCTCACCTTCCCGCCATAGCTCATCACGTCCTGCGCTCACTGCGCTTTGCTATACCAGCTACGACGACATTCGCGACGCATACCCGTTATTAGCCCGTTTCGTTACACGCACAATCCACGAAAGGCACAAACATGGAAGTAAACGTTTACGACAGAATGCTCTTGCTCCTTCGCACCTTACTGCTCTGGATCATCTCATCTCATCGCCAGCCACCATACCACTTGAAATGACACTTCCGAGAGATACAATACACACGCACACTTCGTTACAAGCACAACCCGATAGAGGAACGCACCTGGAAGTAGACGTTTTCAACGGCGTGCTCTTGCTCCTCCAGCACCTTGGTTCCCATCGCCCGCCGCCATACCACCTCAGCCGGGCTCGCCGGCAGGCCGGCCAGCCGCCTCGCCGCAAGCCGAGCAATTGAAGAGGCCATGGGGATGATATTACCTGGCGAACGAGCCGCGACGACGATATTAGTGGCACTTATAAAAACTGAGGGACAATGTGAAGGAGGTGTGGAAACAGCGAAACGACGGATCACTGCAATGTTGCCTTTGTTACTCACGTACAGGGTTAAAAAAAAAGAAGTGATTAACGGATTCTCCTGGTAGAAAATGGAATGGAATGGAAGGACGCTGGAACTAACGGATCTGGTCTAAGCGCGCGCGAGTGTATTATTCGTGGCACCGATGGAAGCGGGGAGCGAATGGAAGTGATGGAGGCGTCGGATGGCGGGAAGAGCGGCTGAATAATCGGAATGGAGGAGAAGGATTGGCAGTGGCGAGAAATCTGACCCAGAATATGCATGAAACGAAGGTATCTAGGTTCTAGACTGGCTGGGGTGAGAAGGCAAAGTGCACAACGGAGGTGTGGGCGGGCGTTGGGTGCGGTTGGAAGGGGGAGGGAACGGGGTAACTGCTGGGGAGGCAAGCGGAAGAACAAAGGTGGGGGAACAGAGCGGAGAAAACAGATGGGGAGGGACGGGGAGCTAAGGAGTGTTACCTACTTGACCGTGATAATTTGTTATGGAAACTTTTTGAAAACGTCAAAACCGTTTTGAGCCGCACTTGAACGATCAATATTTACATCGCTGGGTGGTATGGCGAGATTCAATGCACGAGCAAACCACCCAGGAGAGTAACCTGTAGTGGCGAAACCCATTACAGTACCAGCGTCGCCTGGGAGATTTGCGTGTTGTGCTTGTTGCGCTTCACGTCATCTCGGGACCACGTCAGCTGGTGGTGGAATTGGCCCAGAGCAGAGGTTGTTGTCCAATCAGTGGGCCTCGAGACTAGCTCGTGGTGGCTTAGAAGATCTTTCCCCCAATCTGGGGAGAAACCAGCAGTAGAATCTTCGGCAAAACACCATTTGATCATGCGAATTCAGAAAAGCGCGGAGCACAATCATCAATGTCGCAACTCTCCTCTAAATTGAATGGAACCAGGGATCTAGGCTTCGCAGTTATCCAGTTACCACATGAGAAGCTCTGGTATCCATGAGAAGCATGGAAGCCTGCATTTCTGTCAATACTAAGTCAGCCTAAGTTCCACAAGAACCAGAGACGCTGAGAGCTTTTGTTCTACGTAAAGCGAGGCTCTGCCGTTCAAATCATGTGGAGGCTGTCTCGCGCTGTATTTAGATCACCATGCCACGCGCCGTATCGGTTATCGGAGCCGTTAACAGCCGCTGCTGGGGAGACATGGACTCGCATAACCGCTTCGGTTACTGACGCTCCTTTCATCCTTCGTGTGCGTCTAGTTCCATCTACATCGTCTCATTCCGCTTGGTTTCTCGGCTGTCCATCCTTGCAATGTTCATTCGTAATCACTGCTCTCCAGAACAATAGGTGATGTTCAAGTCAACGCAAAAGTCACCTACTTGGTTTCTCAAGCATTCATATATGCAATTCTGTCACGTCACTTATGCTTTCAGAACATCAGGCTTGTATCGAGCAGTCTACGTGAGTCCGCGTCCGCATCACCATCAGCGCCGAAGGCGTGCGTAACACCATCAGATACCGATGCAGGGAAGCCTCCAGACGCTAGCAGCCATGGCTGCAGCACTAGCACTCTCGAAGACGGCAGTGACACTGCCAGCGGCGTCAGACAAAGCAGCAGAGATAGCACTGGCATTAGAAGCTGCAGCAGCAGCAGCAGCAGCAGCAGCAACAGAAGCAGCGGTGGAGAAGTGTTTGACGTGGCAATCGTTGGCGGAGGTCTCATTGGTGCTGCTGCAGCATGTGCACTCTGTAAGTTACTGTTATTGTTACTGTACAGTGCTGATTCCTTGATTTTTGGCTGCGGATTCTTCTATCTTCATTAACCTTCTCGACCTAATTACCCTAGTTTGTTCATCTCGGGGAGCTTTTGTGCTACATGTAAACCCTAAGCCGTCTCCCTCTCCTCCCTTCCGCCTCCGACTTGTACTCCTGCAGCAACCAGTCGATTCACACGAGACCTCCGCATCGCTCTTATTGACGCTCTCCCTCTCAGCCAAGCACCACGACCTGCCTCCCACAGCAGCAGCACGCCTTCTGTTGGGGCAATGCAAAGTTCAGCTCCTGATGCGCGAGTGATCGCCGTGAATCCGTCATCCATCGACTTCCTCAAGCGTGGGTTACTTGTTGGTGTGTGTGTGTGTGTGTGTGTGTGTGTGTGTGTGTGTGTGTGTGTGTGTGAGTGTGTGAGAATGGAGGTTCACAGTTAGGCCTAATAAGTATATTTTTGTTGCTGTATGGTTCTCATTCGATCTATCCAGAGCGTGTGATACTTAAAGCAAAGTGTTGCCTTCATATCCTTGCAGGTGTGGGCGTGTGGGATGACATTGCATCTGACACAGTCCGTGCTGCTCCGTTCCAGCACATGCAGGTGTGTGCCGATTTCACTGCTGCATCTTTACCGTGTTCATTATTATTGATTTTGTAAAAATAGGAGTCAATTCACATGGTTCTGCGTGTCTGGTCACCCTTTGATCCCAACCATGCGCATTCTAGTGCGTTCGCGTCAAGCTTACAGCAATCCATGCATTCTGGAACGACGTACAACTTCCCATCCCTGCTCTTGAGTCCATTGGCGTGTGTGTCCTGCTTGTGTTCTGCTCCTGCCCTGTTCTTGCTATCGTCCTTCTCTAGGTGTGGGACTTTGCCGGGCCAGGATTCATTCGCTTCAATGCATCTGCGAGCCATCTACCATATCTAGGGTGACTTAATCTCTTCATTATGCTAGATCATTCAATATTATATGGGTTATCGGGCTGCCTTTCAGCACGCCAAGCCATGCCATTTTAGCTTCCGCGGTGTCCCTATGACATCCGTGCTGAACATAAGGAACATTGCTTTTCTGTTTCCCAAGCTGTTCTAATTTTCTTGTTTATTTACACTCATTTTCGTATGCTCAGCTTCCACTTATCCATCCCTTTTCAACTTCATCACACCGACGATCCACTTGTGGTACGCAGGTACATAGTAGAGAATAAACTGATCGTCAGCAGCCTTCTTCGGAGAATACAGGTGGGTTTGTGCAGCTGCACTGCATGAATACTCACAGACGGCGACGAAGCGCAGTTTCCATCAGCTTATATCGTATCAGTCCGATCGCCCCCTAATCAAAACCTGAAGTATTCCATGCGTCATTTCGTGCAAAAAGCGAAGTCATTGAGGAGCAATGTACGATCAGTTGAGTCTTGAATGTCTCTCGGTCTTCTCTCACCATTGGGAGCTTCGATCACGGCCTGCACGCACAAAGTCCAGTCCAGACCATCAATTGGTGTAAAACGAGTTTGCTGTGAAGCATGGGTTTGCCACCAGTCTCTGTCCGCACCTATCCCTCCCTTTCCCTCATCTCCTCATCAAAGCCCTAGCATCAACTGGCCGGGCCGAGTAAGTCCTCATTCGACTTTTGAGGCGCCTCAAAATGTGCCACCAGTCTCTGTCCCCTCCTATCCCTCCCTGTCCCTCATCTCCTCAACAAAGCCCTAGCATCAACTGGCCAAGCCGTGTAAGTTCTCACTCGCCTCGAGAACCCTCTCTCCTCTCCCCATTCCCAACCATGCAGGACCATACCTCCGTGTCCCTCATTGCTCCAACGAAGCTCCAAACCATCAACTGGCCAAGGCCTTATGACTCCGCCAGTGTCACTCCCTATTCAGTCACATCAGAACCAGGGTCTCTCGGTCCTAAGGCCAGCAGCGGGAACAAGGATGGTGGTGGGGATGGGGATGGCTTAGCAGAGATCCACTTTGAAAGCTGCCCACCCATTCGAGCAAGGCTTGTGGTAAGCCCCTTCGCCTCTTCCCACTGTGGCTCCTCTTTTGTGAAAAGCTACATGCCTTTGCTTCGCTGACCCATCTGTCTATTCCCCTCCTCCCCAGTCACTCCCTCATCTGAATCTCCTTCTCTGTATCATCACCCCCCTGCCCCTCCTCTCCCTCTTTGCTCAGACATTTGCATTGCCTCTGTTATACCATTCAATCCCCTTACCTCCTCTCTCTCTCTGTATCACCTATTCTACATCTTCACTCCCCTCCTCACTTTCTCTCTCTCTCGTTTGTATCACATCTTATGCAACATCACCCTCCCCACCCCCTCCCCTCTCTCCCCCCCATCCCCCCCCTCTTTTCTTCCTTCCCAGATTGGAGCCGATGGTTCTCGATCACGTGTCCGCTCCCTCGCACACCTCCGCACCATCGGATGGCCGTACCACCAGCGAGGAGTGATCGCGACCGTCGATCTCGCTTCCCCCAGCATCACAGCCTGGCAGCGGTTCCTCCCTTCAGGCCCTCTCGCCCTCCTCCCGCTGGGGGATCACTTCAGTAATGTCGTGTGGTCGACCACCGAAGAACACGCCCTTAAGCTACAATCCATGAGCCCTGAGGAATTCGCATATGCAGTTAATGAGGCGTTCAGTAAAGAGTTTCCAGCACATGGGCTCTCTCAAGGGGGTTTAAAGCTGCCTTCTGTGCTTCCCTCTGCTGCTTCTGTTGCTGGTGCTGGTGCTGCTGCCGCCGCTGCTGCTGCCGCTGCTGCTGCAGCTGCGGGAGCTGTTTCTGCTGCTGCTGCAGCAGCAGCAGGGAACTCACTTACTTCTGCTATTGCATCTGCATTCTCCCTACAATCATTCTTGAGACAATCTCCCTCTAATCCCCTCTACAGTTTTAGTGATACGGACAAGTTTAGTATGCCTCCGGAAGTTTTATCGGCTCGAAGCAAGGTTCTTTCGTTCCCGTTGTCGCTACAGCATGCCGGCTCTTATGTTGCACCGAGATGTGCTCTTGTGGGGGATGCAGCACACACGGTGCATCCTCTGGCAGGACAGGGAGCCAACCTGGGATTCGGGGATGTTGCGGCACTTGTAACAGTGCTGGAAAAACTGGTGGAAGTTGGAGAGGACATTGGAGAGGTGAGTCAAACTACAGTCAACCTACATTGATCGTCGT